GAATGCATTGTGGGTAAAAAGTAGTGAACGAATGTAGGGAATGAAGTCGTTCACTCAGAATTCGGACAGTACTACAAAATGGCTGACACCCGATATAGTGCACTATATAGTGGATAGGGAGCAGTTTTGGACACAGCTCTTCTTTCCAGAGCGCTCAAGAGCTTGCGCTTTCATGGCGTCTGCCGTTGCGAAGCACTCCACGACGACGTGGAAGTTTCAACAAAGTGAATTTTTCCGTGCCTGTAAGGCAAGTATACGGGGAGTTTCACGCTCAAGTTCCCAGAGACTGAGACGGCAGAAAGCGCATCCTGTTTGCTTGCATTATTTTACAAAAGCGCCATGTTTTGCCGCGTCCGGTGTAGACGCGGTGTCTGTGTGTGAGCAAAGAAAACGATCAGTATAAATATAACAATCAGTATACTAAACATCACACATCCTGCGATGTGACTATCGCTGATGCGCACATCGCGATATCAATGCTGAAACAATATATCGTGCAGCCCTACTCTATAGATAGATTTTTCCGTGCCTGTAAGGCAAGTATACGGGGAGTTTCACGCTCAAGTTCCCAGAGACTGAGACGGCAGAAAGCGCATCCTGTTTGCTTGCATTATTTTACAAAAGCGCCATGTTTGTTGTTATTGTGAGTGCACACAAATAAACGTAGTCTTTACAGATTTGAAAGATGTATTACTCTTATCTGTATGAGCAAAAATGAAGGAGTATTTTAAGTGCAAGTGAGCGCACCGGCGCCTCCATCTGTCCTGCAGTGAGCGATAGCTACTGTTCAGCTTCCACACTCCTGAACAGTGCACATTTCTCTAGGTTAACATTAGATTGAGCGGCCATGTAAAGTTGCTGCTAACATATTTCAGATGATAAGCCATATATGAGGTCAATGAATGATATAGACGAGCGTTTGGATGTCCTGCCCGATGGACTACCACATAGACCAGCTGTAAACGATCTGCGTGTCTTGGCCAATGTGGATTTTTATTTATTTTATTTTTTCTGCTACTAAGCGACTAATAAAATTTTGGTCGACCAAACCTCTTCTGCATATATATATAATATATGCAGAAGAGAATATATATATATATATATATTAGGGATGCAACAATACAGTTAGCCATGGATGTCGTACTGAACAAATCAAATATTATATTGAGAATTGTCGTTGAAACGTACATTTTTTTTGGTTAAAGACTAAGGGAATTATTTTAAAAAAATAATGTGCACAGATAAATCATTTATTATAAATACTGCAAAATTACATAAAAAATAACTATACATTTTTATTTCATGGGGACTTTAAATAAATATCAATAAATCAAATTAAAAAAAATCTAGTTAATATTTATTTGTTAATTTAAAAAAAGACCAAAATAAAGAATTTCTTATACATTTTTTAAATATTGATACTTAAGTGCATGAATTTTGTGGCCAAAAATAATATAATTTGTGATTTGTAATTTCCAATGTGTGAAGACACACTAACAGTAACAGCTCTAGAAAGAAAAGAACAAGAAAAACACAGGTAAAGGTCAGAAGCACATGAAATATTTAAACACTTCTACTCTGGTCTCATGGAATTGAAGCCTTTCTGCCTTTCCTTTGCTCCGAACTGCCCATGGTCTCTTACCCCGCTGCCCTGATTGATCCAGTAGCTGAGCCACCAGTTGCTGAAGGCTGTGCTGCCCACATTGAGAACAAAGAGGGCGAGGATGAAGAGGAAGACGAGCCACCCTCCTAAAGCCTGGATGTACACTTTGTACACCGCCCAGGGCACTGAGCCTTTCCCCCTCTCCTCCACCTGCATCAGCTGACCTGAAAGAAAACAGACAGCAGTGAGGTAAATCAGTAGGTAAAGAATGACTAAATGGGAGTCAAGTAGAGCACAGGGTAATTTACGGTTTAGCATACTCGTACTTACCATCACCCTGCTTGGCCAATTTTTCTTTTTTGACAGATCCTGCCTTTTTGTTCTCTAAGGGTTTCTTTAGGGAACTTCCAGAGTTCTTATTCGGAACCTGAGATGGCAAAACGACAGATTTGAAACCATAGCTTCAATATGCAAGAAACACGCAATGACGTGCAAGAACCGATGGCGCTGTTAAAAAAAGAGCTGTGTAGACATTCAAAACTTCTCCTTTTGTATTTCGCGGAAGCAATAAAGTCATGCGGGTTTGGAACAACATGAGGAAAATGATGATGATAGTTTTTGGTTGAACTGTCTCCGAACTGTTTCACCATCTTCCCGATTTCATGCGTTTAGAAACAAAACACATGAACTTAAGGGATAATTCACCCATTTACAAACCCTTGTGTTACTCGAAACCTTTCTTTATCTTGCAGACCACAAAAGAAGATATTCTGAAGAATGTTTTGTCCATATTATAAAATGTAATGCTCCAAAAATGTGAAATTAATTAATCCAAACTGTTTAATCCAAGTCTTCTGAAGCAACACAATTGGTTTGGATGAACAGGTTAACAATTTTTTAAAAGTCTTTATTCCTTGAACCTCATATGTCAACAATAGTCAAACCCCATTGGTTCTAGACCAAACGCATTGATGTTTGAGGTTCATCCTAACATGGGGCTGAGAAAAAAAAACTTTTTTGGAGGGTTGTCTGACCTCAATGATGGGCGTTTCTCCCAGCTGAAGGTTGTTAAACATGGCGGCGTAGTCTCCATTCACATTCATCAGGTCCTCATGGCTGCCCTGCTCTGTGATGCTGCCATCACGCATGACGATCACGTCATCACAGTCCACCAGATACTAATAACAGAAATAGGACAGGGTTTTGGAAGCTGAATTAAAAATACATATACAGTACTTTTCACATGACCGGCCATGACATTATAATACCTGTAGCTGGTGAGTGACAAAGATGACCGTCTTGCCACGCAGATGTTTTCTAATGGCGTTGTTGAAGATGTGATTTCCGACATGGGCATCCAGAGCACTTAAAGGGTCATCGAGAATGTAAATATCCCCGTTGCTGTATAAAGCTCGAGCCAGGCTTATCCGCTGACGCTGCCCGCCACTCAGGTTGGCACCACGTTCTCCAATCTGACAGAGGGAATCACACCATGTAGTAGAAACATACCTTCCTTTTAAGGGGAATTTATTGTTTGATCAAAGAATTATTATTGTATTAGTAGCTCAGGTCTGCAGCCCAGTGCACACTGTACAATTCTGCCCACGATTTTGCCATCTAAACCTAATTTCTGCAATCCTAAAGGATTTCTGTCATAGAATAAAGCTAAGTTCAATCGCCTACAGTGTGAAAGTTTTTCATAACATAATATTTTTTCCATTATATTACCTAATATTTGTCCCAAATTGTTAATGTACATCACTTCACTTGTGAGACTGTATTTTTGTGGTCTGAATAAACTCTATACTTCATATAGAGAAAACGATAATATAGATTGCACTCTTTCTTTCCTTTGCTGCTGTAGTTCTTTCCTTAATTTATGCTATAGTGTTCATATGACATACTAGTGATTAGATTCACTGTTTTGGGCTGCTGTCATGAACCTAAGAATACGAGAACAGAATGTCGTATTCAGTGTGTGTAAATCGTGCAATGCATAACCGGGCTATATGCTGATTTTTGTACAGAATGTGTTACCTCAGTCAGGTCAGCATTAGGGAGGATGGCCAAGTCTAGTCTCAAGCAGCAAGCACTCAGAATGGCCTGATACCTGCAGGAGACATACAAATACAGGAGAATAAAATGTCCTGCATTAAAACCCAAAAATGCTTACACGTAATGGTAAAATATCAAGGTGTCATTACAGTTATAAATATATCAAGAGTTGGAGGCTATTCAATGACAAAGCACAAGCGTTCAAGGTCATGTGTGCTCATTTTATCTTTGTGCCGAGTCACATTCACCAATCCACCTGCAGCCATGTTTCACTTGCTCAGCCCTTTAATCTCCTTCACACATACTCAAACACATTACTCATTACACTGATGCAGTGCAGCCATTTGGCAAAGCACAAAAGTACTGAGGTGTCCAGTATTAAGGCCCCTAGATACTCGTCATGAGTAATGAAGTAAAGTGAAGTGTGGCCAAGTATGGTGACCCATACTTGGAATTTGTGCTCTGCTTTTAACCCATCCAAGTGCATACACACAGTAGTGAACACACACACCTGAAGCAGTGGGCAGCCATATTGCTGCGGCGCCCGGGGAGCAGTTGGGGGTTTGGTGCCTTGCTCAAGTCATGCTCACTTCAGTCATGGTATTGAAGGTGGAAGTGAGCGCTGGTTAGTCACTCCCCCCACCTACAATCCCTGCCGGACCCGAGACTTGAACCCGCAACCTTTGGGTTACAAATCTCACTCTCTATCTATTAGGCCACGACTGCCCCCTTGCTCATAATTTGAACAAAATCAGGCCAAAACGATGTCAGATGAAGTTTGTTTCGGAAACAGCTTGTCAAAACAAACTTTCCAGAAAAATTTGCTCCAGCTTGTAAATGCCTTCAAACTCCTGTTGGTCTGGGATGATTATGTAATAGGTGGATGTGTTCTGAAGAGTTGCTTTTTTAGTTGAATTTTGTATATGGGCCTCTACACTTTCATTTTATTTGGCGCTCACCTCTCTTCCTCCATTTCCTTGCCAAACAGGATATTGTCACGGAAGGATGCATTGAGAATCCAGGCCTGTTGTGCCACATATGCGAAATCTCCATTTACAGCAACAGTCCCTTCTAAAAGAGTCATCTGGGATACACACAGAACAGGCGTTAAAACAGATAAGTGGATTTCTGAACACATCTAATTGATGTAGCCTTCAACATAGACAAAGGACAGGTGCTCTGTTTTATGCTTCAAATCAGACAATCGCTCACCTGGCCAAGAATGGCAGAGATGAGAGATGTTTTGCCACTTCCCACGCTGCCACAGACACCGACCAGCTTCCCCTGAAGATTCAAACACAGCATGATTATTCTTTGTTATCTCTACCATTACCAAATTTGCATTGAGAAAGGCGAAGACCTTTTGTATAGTGAGATCGATGCAGTGAAGAGTTCTCTGCAGCCGTTGGCTGATGGTCGGCACTTGAAGGGTTTGATCTTCAGGACTGGATGCCACGTCTACAGACACATCATTCAACAGCTGGCCATGCGTTTCCTCTTCCAGCATCCCGTGATGTTTTGGGTCGTCACACTGCCGGCGCTTCTTGCGACAGCCTCTCATGCCGAGGCCTACATAGGGTGTACTTCGGGGCGAAGGCTGGGCGCTGTGACCGCCTGTCTCCCAAGCCAAACTGGCACTGGTCATCTCTATCGCAACGGAAGGATTCCTCGGCAGTTCACGGATCATCTTGACCTCGGCCATCACTAACAAACTCTGGAGGACAATGAAGAAACAGATTAAAAGGAACTCGTCTCACAAAACAATCATTTAATTTGCAGGTGCTAAATTTAACAGGAGTACACAGAGGCTGTTTGTCTTTTTCCTAGCTATTAAATAATTTAATTTGTCTTAGGATGTCTGCATGTTCATTTTATACATGACTTCCAAGAGTGCTGCAGAAATTATGTATTTTTGTAGGCCAAATCCTAGAGATGAATGAGCATTTTAGCACTTCTGGTTCAATTGTCAATGGGTTTTTGCTTGATGCGATTTCAATTTTTCCTTTCTCTTTGGAGTGTTACAAGCTCTTGGTGCATAAAGATGATATGTAAAGTTGCAAAGACTAAAAAGTCTCTTAACTAAAAGTTAAGAGTCAACCATGCCTACCTAAAACGGCTCGTTCTAACACGTCCCCACATGTCTACGTCACAATGTTCCCCAAATGTTCATGCATAGAAAGAAGACGTAATTTTGATTCTCGCTGTAGTATTGTTGCTGCCACCGCTACCATGTTGTGGAGACGCTGTGTGTTTTGTTGTGAAAGCAAAACTACTTTGTTTGGCCTTCCAAAAGAGGACACGACTAGAAATCAGTGGTTAAGTTGTATTTACAACACTGTTCCAGAACAGTTCAACCCAAATATTCAGATGTGTGCAGCGCATTTTATGGAGGATGAAGACTGTTTCCTGGGAGAGTAGCCTACAATGCCGGTGTCTGTTTCTATAAAGTGGGGCAATTCCAATTTTACAAGGACAGTCTGGCACTTCTGACTACGTTTTCATATTTAAAGAATTTGCCACTAATGATTCAAACACGAGTTTTGAGCAGTGTAAAGCAGCACTTGTTGTTTGTCATTTCTCCGATCACAAATGCAGACATGGTTTTATGTTTACGCGGCGCGATGCAACGCAACTCGTAAAAAGACAGTATTTAAGTCATATACAAGTCATTATAATCAGTAATTATGTCCCCACTGGATGCAACAATTGCCTCGTTTATAATGGGTTCTAATGTTTTTGTCTCATTCGTCGGACACGGCATCACATTATGGTAAGAGGCGTAACATTTCCGTCACACGCTTGAGGTATTCGGCCAATCACAACGCACTGGATAGCTGGCCAATCACAGCACACCTCACTTTTTAGACCGATGAGCTTTGTAAAAATCGACGCGTTTCAGAAAGACGGGGCATAGAGGAGAAACAATAATGTATAGTATGTGGAAAATAATGCGTTTTTTGAACCTTAAACCGCATAAACATTTCATTACACCAAATACACAAATTAATGTTCTTTTTAGCAACATCATATGACCCCTTTAAATGCCTGAAATAAGGTCTGTGTTTAACAAGTTATTTTACATGTGATTCTACAACATACATCAGTTATACTTAATTGTGATTTTTGAAAAGCTTTTACTTGTCTTGAAAAGGCGGCTGCTAAAAAGTGGATACATTTGACTACAGAGGTTGTTTGGGACATTAAACGTCCAAAAAGCAAAACTCATCTACTCACTAGTTGCTTTCACAGCCTCATTGTGTTTGTAATCACACTCTTGCAAAGTATTCTTACATTTTCAGGGAAAATGTTTTTTAATAAAGACGAAATGTCATTGATGCCGCTACTGAAGAAATGCAACTCTGGCATAGTTCGTTTTAAGCCTATGTTTAGCTTTTTACTCCTGGCGATTGTATTTAGGATTCAAAATTCAAGTTGCATTCATCTGTGAAAGGTTATCATGCTGAACAAAATATTTAAGAATCATAAAATAATCTGACCAACAGAAGTTTTATGAAACAATCTGAAAGCCAATGGAAAAAAACTGTTGTTTTTTTTAAAAAAAGGATTAAAGGAGAAAAGTCGAAAAGTCATCTTTTATGCAGCACTCTACAGTAACATGTGATGCTGGCACAAAAAAAACAAAACAAGATGGAAGAGAGTCTGGTCCAGATGTATGAAGCTGAGCAACCCGAGATGTGAACCCATGTTCAAGAAGAGACTTTTCTTCAGTTCTAAACTCAAATAAAACTCTTTTTCTCTTGCTTTTAGTATGTTTTACTCCTTGTCAGGTCCATTTCCTCATTTTCTTAATCTAACATCTTCCTAAAATTGCCCTTTTATGATGGCATCTCCAACACTTTTGATGTGCAAGTTCATTGAAGCATGATGCAAGTCATGTGTTTTTTGTATCTGCCACTGAAGTCAGAAACGAAGATATAATCTGCAGGATTAAGTGAAAGATAGAAGTGAGCTGGATGGCAACTGGAGCGTTTCAATATGGCACCAAGAACAGCCCCATTCCCATCTTATTCAGTCATTCATTCCCCAAGATCATCCATCTGGACCATATCAAACACACCTCAATGATAACACTAGCTTCAATACCTGGATTTACAGGAACAGGGTCCCTAGGAGTACAGCATGCAAAATACACACTTGACAAAGGTAGAAGTAACTATCTGGAGACAGCTCACCTTAAACCTATCAATGGCGACAGATGCCTCTGATAGAGATTTGACAGAAAATGGGGTGACCTTTAAGGCAAAGGTCATGGAATTGAAAACGGTGACGACAGTAAATGCCTGGAAAAAAAGAAATGAAGTAGAGTCAGTGCATGAGTACATGAATACTGTGGTAATGCCTACACCTCCAAACAAGCAATGTAACCCTACCTGTGCGGCGGTAAGGTCATAACCTAGCAACATGTGGGTGGAGAATGTGGCCACACTGGCAATCACCACGACGATAGGTGCCACGCCGACTGTAATGCTCTGAAAATATCCGGTTCGCTCCAGAATCTGACGCTCCTCATCTCTAATTCCTGTTAGATGGAATGCAATAAGCAAAAACATTTGCATGGAAATAGGCCAAAGCAGGCTACTATCATTAACTAAAACCTTAAACATTTTCATTACTTTAAATAAAATTTTTATTTTAGCTATTCTCCAAACAAACATTTCTCATTTTCATTTAGTTTGAGTTGAATTGTAGTATTAAAACAACTAAAACTGATCCAAAACTAAAACTTTATAAATACTATATACACATAAAGAATAAAGAAATTAAATAAAAATGACAAATGCATACAACAACATTTCTAAACTTAACATTTAAATGAAAACGAAAAATAAAGCTAAAATCAATTCAAAATATTAACAAAAGAACAAAAGGTATAACAACGATTCTAACATAACACTAAGCCAAACGCCAAAAACAAGTACACACACACACAAATTTTAAAATTTTACACGACGATAGGTGCCACGCCGACTGTAATGCTCTGAAAATATCCGGTTCGCTCCAGAATCTGACGCTCCTCATCTCTAATTCCTGTTAGATGGAATGCAATAAGCAAAAACATTTGCATGGAAATAGGCCAAAGCAGGCTACTATCATTAACTAAAACCTTAAACATTTTCATTACTTTAAATAAAAATTTTATTTTAGCTATTCTCCAAACAAACATTTCTCATTTTCATTTAGTTTGAGTTGAATTGTAGTATTAAAACAACTAAAACTGATCCAAAACTAAAACTTTATAAATACTATATACACATATTTAAAGAATAAAGAAATGAAATAAAAATTACAAATGCATCATACAACAAAATTTCTAAACTTAACATTTAAATGAAAACAAAAAATAAAGCTAAAATCAATTCAAAATATTAACAAAAGAACAAAAGGTATAACAACGATTCTAACATAACACTAAGCCAAACGCCAAAAACAAGTACATGTGTATGTATACATACATACACACACTCACACAAATTAAATGTATGTATATATATATACATACATACATACATACATACATACACACACACACACACACACACACACACATACATACATACATAAATTAAATATATATTTGTGTGTGTATTTAGAGAGAGAAGGAGAGATATCTATATCTTTATTTTAAATAAAATAAAAATTAGCTGAAATTTCAGCAACACTTCTTATTTTCATTTGGTTTAAGTTGAATTACTAAAACAAACTAAAAATAAAAAGCTATACAGGCATATTTAAAAAAACTACAAACTTAACACAAAATTACTAAAATGAACTAATGAAAATCGATAAATTATAAAATTATAAATAAACTCCCAACAGTATATCAATTATACTAAAATAACACTATGCTAAACAACAACAACCAGGGTTATTATCGTTAACTAAAATTTAAATCTACAAAAAAAAACTACTTTCATTACTTGAAATTAACATTAACTTAAATAAAATCAAACACTAAAAAATATTTTCCTTGTTTCAATTTTATATATATATTTTTTTATTTTTTTCATTTCCATTTAGTTTAAGCTGAAGTACTAAAATAACTAAAAACTAAAACTTAATAAAAAAACCTATACAGACATAGTAAAAAAGTAATAAAATGACTAAATAGATAACATACAAATCAAACTACATTAGTCTATCAGTAATCCTAAAAAAAAATAACACCGAGCCAAACACGCATGCTAAAAAACAACTTACTTCGTACAGCTTGAGAGAAGGCCTTAACCCAGGCATACATCTTAATGAACTTGATGTAGTTCAGAATCTCATTCATCTTTTGAACGCGCTGGTCAGTCACGGCTACTCCCTTCCTCCTGAAGTACGCCGTCAGCCTGGAGCTAAACATCTACAGGAAAAACTCTGCCATTACAACAGGAACTCCCGTTGGAAAAGCAACACAAAGCCTGAACGAAAAGCTCACCATAGTGGGGTAGAAGAGGATGAATACAGCAGAGCCCAGCAGAGATGTCGGCCCCAATACGGATAAGTTGTATGCCATTCCCAGCACGGCCACCAGGGGTCCTCCAGCCAACAGGCTGCCCACGGCAGCGGCTTCAAACATGCGCTGCCCATCACTCGAACACATATTGATCAGCTAAAGAGAAAAGCGACACGTACGTCGGCAAGATGCCCGAGATATACCGTAGACTACCATTAAATATATGCGGACATCACCTTCTTTAGATATTTTCCTTCACTCTTCATCTCTTCACCATTCAACACCCTAGGATATCTGCTCCTAACCTTCCTAAATGTCCAATTAAAAAGCTCACCATAGTGGGGTAGAAGAGGATGAATACAGCAGAGCCCAGCAGAGACGTCGGCCCCAATACGGATAAGTTGTATGCCATTCCCAGCACGGCCACCAGGGGTCCTCCAGCCAACAGGCTGCCCACGGCAGCGGCTTCAAACATGCGCTGCCCATCACTCGAACACATATTGATCAGCTAAAGAGAAAAGCGACACGTACGTCGGCAAGATGCCCGAGATATACCGTAGACTACCATTAAATATATGCGGACATCACCTTCTTTAGATATTTTCCTTCACTCTTCATCTCTTCACCATTCAACACCCTAGGATATCTGCTCCTAACCTTCCTAAATGTCCAATTCATTAATCCAAAACGCCTCACCCGCCCAATCTCAACACCGTACCTCTCCCATGCTCTTCTCCCGAAGGCTGCGGAGTCGCAGTATCTTGTGGAAGGCCATGGTCAGGATGGCTCCACGCAGACGGGTGCCGGTGCGGTAGTTGAGCGCCCAGGTGAGGGCGAGGGACCAGGAGCGAATCAGCTCGGTGGCCAAGAGGCCCAGCACCAGCAGCAGGCCGTAGGGCAGGTCGGGCTCGCTCATCTGCGTATACTCCAGCAACCGCCTCACCACAAACGCCTGCGGAGAGGGAGGACGAGCAAGGGGGCGACAGGACACAGCAGGCGTGACTGAGGATACAAACACAGCTGTGCACCAGCACTGCGACATTTACACTTCACAACCTTCCTCATCATAAAACATCTGATTACAGCGTTGGCCAGAGAAAGGTAAAGGGATGCAGATCATTGTGTGCTACGTGTGGGGCTTCATCATAAAATGCACGGCTTCTAATCATTGGAGACAGTGAGGGAGCGGCAACGTCTACTGAGAGAGAATGTCAGCCTGTGTTCTAACAGTTCGTTACCTTATGCGGCCCTTTTCTCTAGCCTTCGGAAAAGAACAAGAGAGACAATGAAACAGTACCGACAGTACCATCTGTGCGGGAGACAAAGCAATGTGATATAGTCATGGACATAATGCCCCTTGTTTGTGGATTCAAAGACTTTTTACCTACAGTCACATCAGGTTGGGGTACAGGATGGAGACGTACTTTTGTTTTAACACCTGAAAATTAATATCAATTAAATTAGTAAAAGAGTGTGCGGAAGCACAAAACACAGAAAACTTTAACAGCCGACAATTCAAGAAAGTCATCCAAGCACACACATTCGCGCACACACGCACGCCGTTCTCAAATACCATGCACATACGCAGTCAAGGATATGCAGACATAAACTGGGAACAAGGGCAAACCCATGTGGTTGAACACAGCTGCTAGATTTTATTAAGGAAACCTTGAATATGTAACCTTGAAACTTGAAACATCAGCAGTTTGTGGAAAAAAATGTACAAAGACGTTGCAAGTAGAAAAACATGGCTCAGGCAAATCAATACTTTGTTGTGAGAGGAAAAACAAAAGACATTGTTGCACAAAATAAGGTCTTTGAGAGTCCATTTGCGAGTTGTCATCACTTAAAAGCTGTCCCATTTATTTTTAAATCGAGGTTAGTGGGGCAGCGATCACCCTCCCTGAATGACGCACATCTAGACCCATTTACACCGCAGTTGCCCAAAAAGGTGTCCATGAAATTGGTCAAAAATCCAGCAACATATTGAGGACAAGAGGTGCGGGTCTGAAAACGACCTGTGCGCTCATGAATCTGTCAAAACTTGAGAGCGTTTCAGTCCAAAACCCCGGCAATATAAAACCCCCGCAAGTCCGTTTTCCGTTCGCTGGTATTTATCTGGAGAAGTCTGAATCGATTGTCCATCAGCATATAATCTTGCCCACATCCGTCATCGGACATACATTGCACAATCATTTGCCAACCAGTTACCCAACCTTTCAGACATTTCTTGCTGGATCATTTCAATACACATGAGATGTGAATAATTACAGAGATCAAATAAGAGAAGGGAAACAGAAAGAAAGAGAGAGAAGGCAAGAGAGAGAGAGAGAGAGAGAGAGAGAGAGAGAGAGAGAGAGAGAGCATTAACTCTAGATCCAGCCCCGCATAAGAAACACAGAAACAAGAGACAGCATTAACTCTTGATCCAGCCCTGCATAAGAAACATGCCCTTACCTCCCAGGAATCCTCACCGGCTCTGCCTGCCGTGTGCTCTCCCCGCAGGTTTAATCGGACACCCTGTGGAGTCTGAAGAATAGCCTCTGTCACATGTCGCACACATGGGGACCCAGCGACCTCTGACCCCTAACTCCAATCTGAACCCCCCCAGACACCCACCTTCCTTTACAAACCACCCCTGACCTCAGTCATCAGAGCAAGGACAGGTATCTCTTCAAGGAGATGTTCTACAGGGAGCTGCTAAATATAGACAACAGGGAGAGAAAGGCAGTTGATGATTAAACAGAATCTTTTGATAAGCCCGATTTTCTCCAAATGCCTGAAGGAGACAGAGCCTTGCTGTGTCGCCCAGGGTGGGACAGTGACAGAAGCTCTCCTTGAAGAAAATGTTAGCCTATCCTCCTGATCTAAGGAGACTTCTCTTTAGGCTACGCTTGTGCTACATGCAATGCCCCTAAACTTAAGTTGTACCCCAAATCTAGCATTTGACAGTGGACCGTAAGAACAGAATTTCCTTATCTACCCGATAATAACACCACAGATATAAAACACCTGGTACCTGGAAAGCAAGAGACAAACAGAAACTTGCACAATCATAGAGCAGCAGTTTTTTGGACAGGTGTAATAAATTGGTTTCTGTTTTTGGAACTGAAACTCTTGGAACTGAAAATGATGACTAAGTTTCGAGTCCTTTATCTTTAGCTTTATTAAAACTACAGGATGTTTATGATGAACAACATTTTGCCATAACTAACAGACATGCTTTAAAATAAAGTGTGTCATATCTACACAACTGGCAGCACCGAACAGAACCGATTCCTGCCCCAAACTCACGGCAACAGTGAGCAATCGGGTTGCGGAGGTAAAAACTCCATTAATTTTCTCCAGAGGGGAATTGATTTTTAACAATAATTCATAAACCTTTAAAGACAGTCCTACTGTGAGCTACAAGGTTGTTAATCGATGTTAAATGTTTTGTTGAAACCATCGGTTTGCATTATTTCACCTAGGGCTGCACAATTAATTGAATTTCTAATCGCAATTACAATTATGGATGCCACAATTACGTAATTGTTCAAAGCGGCAATTAATCGTTCAAAGTCCACTTATGTTATTCTGTGCGCTTAAGATATGTTTTTTTCTTTCTACATGTTATCTTAAGGGTTTTTCAATTATTTTTGTTTTAGTATAACATTATAATACCATTCATATTTCTACTTTTTTTATCATTTAAAGAAGAAACCAATCCGATGTATATTTGAGGCTTAATACTATAGAAAAGCACTAAAGGTTTTTCAGTTAGAGTGTTTTCAGCTTGTTTATTTTCATATAAAAATACGGCATGCCGTTGCATCAAACAATGGAATAAACATCATTCAATGTAAATTGTGATAATCGTAATTAATAATCGCAATTAAAATTTCAAGGGAATAATCGACACTTATGATTTTTGTCATAATCGTGCACCCCCAATTTCACCTTTAAAGAACAATTGGGATTGCTGGTGGAAAAACTACATTACCCATAAAGCTATGCAAAAATCCCCCCAATCAGAGTGTGGCGGTGAACAAATCACAACAAAAGATCTTGCAGAGAACGGCCACTCCCATAAGGCACTGCAAATAACAAATGAAATGGTCTCGCTATGCTGTCAAAATACTTATATATTTGTGTGTGTATATAACTTACCATATATTGTTTCTTTAGATAAAATTAATTGTGTTAAATTTATTCAATATATTATATTTTTTATTCGATTATGTCATTTGCCATGCTTCATGGGATTGTATATATATATATATTTTTTTTTTTTTTTTTTAGCTTGTTTTTTTGGTTTGTGGCTTATAACGCTTTAACAAAGACTTTTTTTAAATCCCTATGGGAAAATTTTATGGAAAAAATACTTCCGGAACCAACACTTCTGAAAAAGTTACCTGACCCTAATGCACTCTATGTTTGAGTTAATGTTGTTACATCCAACACAATTGTGCAGCTCAAATGGCTTGCGATTCCATTTGGTGCCGTTAGTGGCGCAGATATAACATACTTCAATAACATCTAAATTAATAAAGTTCCCCCTATTTTTGACTATAGAGTGAGACTATTCGGCAAAAAGCAGCAGACAAACTCTAATACTCTTTTGGTGTTGGCACAAGTCATCATTAAGGCACTTTATAAATAGCACTAATGGTTAAATGAATTGGTTTTGGGAGCCACACTGGAAACACCACAGAGGTAAAGCAGATCACTTCTGAGGCCCAGTGACAATGTAAAACACCTCTCATTCCCCATCTGAACACTCACCTGAGCATTTGAGGGGGGCAGGATTTGATAGGTGGGTCTAAGCTCATAATACACAGAGAGAGCAAGAGCGAGAGAGAGAGAGAGAGATAGAAGGAAAAGACACCAGATAGACACAACAGAGCTGAGATGGTGTTACTTACTGGGCCACTGAAGCCTGCGAGTTGAGTAACCATAAGGCAGAGGATGGACAGCAGCAGACGTGTGCGGCAAAAAAGCCAGACCACACGACGAAGAGACGCCCCGTCCCCTCGTGACCTGACTTCTTCATCCCAAAGCCCGGCCAGCCTGTGGAAATTATGTTTTGTTAACATGCAATGCATCTACCAATTACATCAGGCCTGGCTCCAGGTCCAATAAGTACCACTGTAACACCACTTGATTTGGACATGAGCCATGCCAGTGCAATGGTATTCTTTGAAGTACTATGAAACTACCATGGTTCATCAATCATTCAGTATAGTATTTATGGTATTGTTACCATTTGGTATCACCAAAGTACTGTATGAGAAAGTAGCACCTGCCAGGCCTGAATTACATATATTTTAGATGGATGAGTGCTTGATCTGTGATAAGAAGTCATATATCAGTACTGACCGGCGATGATTGACCTCACAACTCTCAAACTGCGATACAGCCCATATATCCTCCAGAAACAGCTGACCCTTCTTATGGGCCAACACCACCAGGGAGGTCAACCAGTTAAATGTCATAAAGGAGAAGAGGCCAGCGTTGTCGACTGGATGCTGATACCTGTGGTGACCGAGTGAAAAACAGGACAGGAGAAGAGACAAGAGACGTGGATTAGTCTCTAAGCTGCAGTATTTTAATTCAGTGCAATTTGGTTTATTTTATTAGGGCCACCCAGCCTGAGTCCCATGTGCCTTTCTCAGGGATGAGTGTATGTCTCGTAAAACTGTGTCATTTGAGCTTAACCACTGCACCCATTTTAATAGGGTTGTAATTTTACCAAAATGTGGCTTTTGTTAAAATTCAACAAAGATGTTTGTACTAGGGCTGGGTTGACAAAAGTGATTTCTCAATTTGAATCGACTAATTTTTGATGAACTCTTCATCATAGATTCTTAAATCCCAAGAATCAATATTTTAGTCTGTTTTCAGTTGATTCATGAACAGCACTTTATAAAACATTATTTATAGCATGCCTCCCATCCAATAATTGTAAAAATTGCAAGCTTGTGAATTCGAATCGAATCTTGAAATTGGTACCAGTATCCAGACTTAGTTTATACCGCATGTTCTTGTCTCCGGTGTTGTTTTATTTTGGTGTCTGAATTCACCATTTACTCACCTCATGTCATTCCAAACCCATAAGACTTTCGTTCGTCTTCAACAAATGAAGATTTGAAAATTATACATTAAAATATTAACATTAAAAGATTTTTAATGAAATCTGAGAGATTTCGGTCCCTCCACTGACAGCCTATGCAACTAACACATCGACGATTCAAAAGTTAAATGAAGAGATTGTAAAACTAATGTGAAATGAATTCAGCGGTTTAGTCCAAATTTTCCGAAGACACTCAATTGCTTTATATGATGAACAGATTTTAATTTAGGCTTTTATTTACATTGACCGATATTTGAGAAAGTAATTTATTTTAATAATTTTGAGCACATGGTTCAAACAACATTTAATTTAAATTTACAATTGCTCATTATGTTTGCCCTTATATTGGCCTTGTCTAAACTCAGTATTTCATCTCCCTTGGGATGAAATATTGAGACATTTTTATTTTAAACCGTTGCTTCTGGCCAAAATACCCATCCATAATCCATAATAGCACTTCTTTCAGTGAAAAAGTCTATCTCCTGTTGTCCTCTCACATCAAAATCTACCCACATATTTGTTTAGAGCTGTTTGGACTGTTTTTTGCTTGTAAACGGTGCTTGATCTGTGAATATTTCTCCTCGGATTCAGACGAGACACATTTTTCACTGGAGAAAGCAACATTATGGATAGAGGACTCCTTTTATTTTAGCTTGAAGCTAAGGTTTGAAGTTAAAAAAGCTTTAAGTATAGATTTGTTTCTTACAAACACGCAGCTTTTCACTTAAGACGTTAATTGATGGACTGGAGTGGTGTGGATTACTTGTGGATTATTGGAGCTGTTTGGACTCATTCTGATGGCACTCATTCACTGCAGTGGATCCACTGGTGAGCAAGTGATAAAAGCTAAAAGCTAAATCCAACTACATTTTCAGCAAATTCTCATTTTGAGTGAACTGTTCCTTTAAGGCTGTTATTAACCACTTAACAGCTGACACCGTTCTCTTTTCAAATGGCTTGTCACCAGTTGTTTCAGTTTCTTCTATTGGCATCTCAGGTCTACTGAGCCATTGACATTTGAGAGCCTGACCTTCAAAAGCATGTAGACATCTGAAAATGGACACAGTATTACCCATCATGATTTGCTTACTGAAATAAAAGGCACACTGATCAGTAACTTTAGTACGTACTTGCTGGTGGAGCGGATGGGCTTGAGTACACAGACACTGTGGTGGTATTTGCTTCTCCCGACTTCGTCCTCCAACTCTTTTGCGTCAGCGGCATTGCTCCCATCCAATGAGAGGCCACCCTCAGCTCTCGCTGCCGTTTCAAAAGCATCCTGGGAGAAACATCAGCAGATCAGGTGTTCAGCTACCAGGTTTGTTTTTGAGCGTGGCATATCAGCACTTTTCAATGGAAAAATGTGACTATGCAAAAAAAAAAAAAAAATGTTGACAGGAAATGAAAGAAGACATGTTCGTCAGCATGTATTGGGCAAGGACAAATATCATCAGCGAAAAAAACAGAGGAAGGAAACCAGTCAGACTCCAGCAACCCATAATGCCTAATAATGCCTTGGGAAAAAACCACTGCATCATGCAAGGGAACATCAAGTCTTGTGCTGCACGTGGCCTTAAACACAGACAGCTGATGAAGCCCATAATTGTAAATTACGCACACATGTTCAAGTCATGTGTCAGGCAAAATAGTTTATAATACTGTTTAAGGCAAGATGCTACAGGTGAGGCCTTGTCCACTCCACAATCATTTTCGTTTGAAAATGACTCTTTTTCTCTCCATTTTGGCCTTCCGTTCACACTAAGCCTGCATTGTTGTCACTAAAAACAAAGCTTTTTTAAAAAGTGGATACATGTGAAAACATTTTTCATTGTAGTGTGGACTGTAAACGCAATGACGCACGTTTAGTCGTGACGCATATTGTACCGAAATTTATCTTTTTATACCTGTAATGTGCTATTCACTTTCACACTGTTGCTTTGTACACTCTTCATATTACAGTCCTGCAAAGATTACAGAAAATGTACTCACAAGTGCTGTCCTGCAGCAAAACATGAGGGCAGTTGAAGAAGAATATTGTGAGAACTTTATTATGTCTGTTCCATCCGTATCATCTCAGTGAGCTTTTATGAGGTTTTACGCATGTGCAGTAAGGTGAAAACTAGGGCTGTCAAATGGCTGAAAAAAACTAATTAAAATTTTGTACTTAAATATGATCAAAATTCGAATTATATTCAAATTTAAAATGCATAATTTCATTTAGGGTGAAGAAAAGCTTTTGGCTTCTCTCCTGAGGCCACAAGAGGGTGCATCAAGCTAAATATTACTAATGCACATTTATTCAAAGTAGTGGTCGACCGATATATCACCAAGGCTGATATATCGGTCGATATTTGGCATTTTTCAGATATCAGCCGATAAGTTTTTCTGCTTGGCCAAAGCGTTCGAGGCAGTGCTCACATTCTCCTTCTTGTTTACTGTCGTTGTTAACAGTTCTGTCTAATACGGATAGAAGTCTGTCTAATAATCAGATAGAACGGTTAAACAAAGGAATTAATGTATACAAAAAGTATTATAACGATTGCTTTTATATTATTAGTAATAGAAATGCAAACATTATAATACTTTCTTGTTTGCCATCAACATTAAGCAAATACGCATTTATATCATTTAAACAAATCTTTGAATGACTAATGAACATTTAATTTCACAAACCTTGCAAACTTAGTCGAATCCAGCTGTGAGATCTTGTGAAGTGTGCATTTTTATCCAGCATGATCGCGTGTTCTCTGTGTGACCGTCGGTCTGTGTGAATTGAATGCTTTAAACTCGTGATTTCAAATTATGCTGTGCTTTATGCATTTGCCCACTGTCATATTCATGTCATTTTCACTGTGTGCTAATATAAACATAAATATTAAAATTATATCGGCCCCCTGCTTTCCAAGATATCGACATCGGCTGTCAAAAAAACAATATCAGTCGACCACTAATTCAAAGCATAAGATAACATGACTTATCTGTGAAAAAAAAGTGCATAATTTTTAAAATAATGTTTATAAACCAATTATAATTAAGTTGCTTAAACAACTATAAACAAAACAGCATCATGTATGTATGCATAGTTTAATACAAAGGGACGAAAGCCAATCACACAGAGTACATTTTTCATTTAAAAACACGAGTTGCAGTGGGATGGGGGAAAAACCCACCATAAAGTCTCGAGATATGTTTTTTCAAAGTTGAACTTGCATTCATTTTACATGGCTTTCTAAACATACGGCTCTTTTGTGCGAGACGCAACTGCAACAGTGATAGATGTCCCTCTAGAAAAGGCGCAAAATATGAGTTCTGTGTGAACGGCTTAGTTTCAGTTTTGACGTAAACAAGATCTTCTCCGCATTGATATTCTCTTTTCCCGCAATATTTGTAATTAACAACGCAGCAGCGCCGCATCTAGTGGCTTCAACTAGATAGGCTAACAAAAGCATTATAATGCATCAACACTTACATCGTCATCGCATCTTGTCCGCCACTGATAAGGCAGCCTCCTTAACGCACACCTAAAATTCAAATGCACGGTTTTTGCATTCGAATGTGGATTTTATTTTAAATTCGACGAATATTCGAAATTCACTTTTTTTTGACAGACTAGTGAAAACAGCGATGTGAAACTTCAATGTTTGAAAACGCTAGTGTGGATGGAGAGCGTTTTAAAATGAAAATGCTGTTTTCAAAGGTTTAATGTAGAGACAGCCTGAATAGGGCAAAAAATTTTACTTTCCCCAGTTAATTAATCACAGCACAACTGTTTTGTATTACAAGTTTTTTTTTTTAAATTGTGTTTAATTATGGAAATGAGGCATTATCTAATTGCACTCACTTGCATACACTTACAGAACAAAAATCTGAACACATGAATCTGAGTTTTAAAGTGTCCCTATTATGCCATTTTTAAGGTTTCTAATATTGTTTTGGGAGTCTCCTACAATCGGTTTACATGCATTCAAGGTCAAAATACACTTTTGTTTTCTCAAAATATGCATTGGATATCATCTAATTTTCCAAAGATTTTCAAACGATTCGTTCAAAGCAGTTCTAAGATTCAGTCTCTCTAAACCCCTCCTTTCTGTGAGCCTACTCTGCTCTGATTGGTCAGTAGGGCTGGGACGATATGCTAATCTGCCGATTCAATACTATACCGATACTTGTGTGCCGATTCAATATATATTGCGATAATTGAGTATTGCAATTATATAACTATTGCGATTCGATATAACAATTTATTATAATTTTTGCTTGCTTATAAAAAAAAATTTGACAATGGAAAAAACTTGATCATACCCTTAAAGAAACTGTATATGATGAGTCATATTAACAAAAACGATGAATCACATCTTTCTGAACTTTTATTTCAGGAGCATACACAGTGTATATTTTAAAGTACTGTGGACCATGAAACTTTCAAGTACCAAAATCCTGAACTTGCACATGAATATAATAGTCAAATGTTCAACAAAATCAGTAGTAAAATACTTTCTGAAATCAAAAAGTGCTGTTACTTTGCATACCGTTTAGTCATGTTTTCCCGGCAGTGTGTAAAATCCACACTTGGCATTCAAAACGTGAAGGTGCAGAAAGAATTCTCGAAGAGGTTTGATCCTCTGCCTCCGCCACAGTTTTGCTTTCTCGTGCCAGTGTTCTGACTTGAAACGTATACGACGTCATCTAATACAGCAGCGCTGCACACGCAGAACGATCATTGTATGACATCAAAGCACCACGAGAGCTACAGGGATATCACGATGTGCGCATTTGCGATAGTCACATTGCAGGATGTGCGATGTTTAGTATACTGCTCGTTAATCCGTATGGACCAGGTACCAGGGTTCGAAACGCAGGTGATTCTTGGATCAATTGCAAAGTTTAACCATCATACAATGAAGGTTCATCATTTGCATGTGTTGTCCTGTCGGCTTAAACATTCAAGCGATTTTAAACCACTAGAGCGCGAGAAGGCGCGAAATAGAGCTCAATTATGAACACGTGCCGTTTGTCACACCACGCCGTAACAGCTAAAGTCTGTCTACACTGGACACGACAAAGTGAGCTTTGCAAATCATTTGAACTTTGTGTCAATTCGTCATAAATAGAACGAGGCATCAGTTTACTGACGGGGATTTGTCATGTCGTGCCGCGCTGCATCCAGTGACTGCTGATCAATTAAAATACTTCAATAACGTACACACATAAATACGGTTAAAACACTAAGCACTATAACGACATGACATTCACAAAGGAGTCTGGAGTGAAAATTATCTGCACAGACATAAACGTATTTTAGGTAGATTTTGAGGCGCATTACCTTTACCAAAATTAAAGTAATTCACTGCGTAAACGAGGCATCAGTTTACTGACGGGGATTTGTCATGTCGTGCCGCGCTGCATCCAGTGACTGCTGATCAATTAAAATACTTCAATAACGTACACACATAAATACGGTTAAAACACTAAGCACTATAACGACATGACATTCACAAAAGGAGTCTGGAGTGAAATTATCTGCACAGACATAAACGTATTTTAGGTAGATTTTGAGGCGCATTACCTTTACCAAAATTAAAGTAATTCACTGCGTCCTCAGTGGCTCAGATGTTGGGAAAAAATTAAGACATCCAAACAGAACACCTGGATTGCTTATGAGACATTGTTGACGTTACAGCTGCTCGAGCGTGGAGACAATGAAGGGCAGCTTACAACCGTGGAGGGCGGAAACTATAGCAATGCAGGGCTGTCAATCAACCCCCGTGGCCCGGCCCTATGCAATGTGATGTCACATTGCATAGAGAATCAAAACAGCTTGCCTAGTAAGACTGATTTGGTTTAAAGGGGATTAAAAAAATGAGGAGTGGGTGGATTTTTATCATTGTAGGGTGGTTGTGTTCACCCACTGCCAACACACATTTAGGTCCAAACACCATGTAAAAGTGGGTTTTGCATAATAGGTGCCCTTTAATCCTACCCAATACCTAAACTTAACTACCTTACTAACTATTAATACTCAGCAAATTAGGAGTTTACCGAGGCAAAATTCGTAGTTAAATAGTCAGGGTAGTTAATAGTAAGAATTGGTCCCCAAACTAACGTGTGACCAATGTACTTACATTTTACATTTAGTCATTTAGCAGACCCTTTTATCCAAAGCGACTTACAAATGATAATACAAATAATATAATAATTAAATATAATATATATAATACAAATGTACTTTACCCCACGTGCAGCTACACACTGCGACATGTGCCAAAGTCCACTCTAACA